GCATGTGTGTTTATGTGTGTGTGTGTGTATTGAGGGTGTATTGTTGAAGGAAAGAGAAAAAATGAGAGAAGAGGTGGGATGGGGACAATCAAGATGGCGGAATAGACGGTCCACAGCGTCACTCTCTCCCACAAATCAACCAATTTACAACTATAAAAATGTAACATCAGCCAAGCTGGGGCGTCTGGAGCTCAGGGGAAGAGGAGGAGAGACCTATGGAGTTCATGAAGGCAGGAGAAACTACGATGAGAGAAAGAAAAAGCTGTTCTGAGCATTTCGGGCTACAGTTGCTTTAAGGCTCAAGCAGATGAGCGCATGGAGCAGGAGCCGGCAGAAGCTGCAGCTGTGCCCTTCAGATGGGGTTACTTGGAGGCGGAAGGTGAGAATAGGGCCTTGGCGGCCCCCAGGACAGCAAGACCACTAATAGGGTTCCCAGGACAGCAAGACCACTAATAGGGTTCCCATGGACCCACACCGGAGCGAGGAGCCAGAACAACTGAAAAAAGGGAGCCATTCAGAGGCCGGTGAGTCATCGCGAGGGACTGGTGCAGGGCCCGTCCCATGGGAAACGTTTGCAACATGGGCAGTGGGGGAGACGTACCCACCAGGGGCACAGCAAGGACAGTTGATCTGCCCCCCGATCAGCACAGGACCACTCAGAGGAGACTGGTCGGGAATACAGAATTGCATGGGGTGCAGTTTGATGAAAAAATTCAGGCCCACATCAGAGATTCTACAGAACACAGAACACCGGATCTCTGGAGAGCTGGAAGTACCTATAAGGTCAGCCATTAAACCCTGAGCTGCACAAAAAGCCTTCCCTAGGGAAACAGCAGCAAAGTAGCAATTTAAACAACCACACAGCTCAAGTACTGGTTCCCACAGGAAGTTCCCCTGTATTAGAAGCAAAGGACAAAAAATTAGTTCTGGGCCAGACACACCACCAGCACCTTGGGGCCTGCCTGGGAACTAGAGGCTTGGATCTGGGGATTGGACCCCACTCCCACTTCCAGGCAAACTGCACCAGTGCCTCGGGGCCAGACTGGGGACCTGAAGCATGGAGAAGAGGTCTGGACCCCCCTCCCACAACCAGGCACACCACGCCAGCACCTTGGGGCCTGCCCGGGGACCTGAGGCAAGGAGAAGGGGAACAGACCTCTCTCCCACAACCAGGCACACTGAGCCGGTGCCTTGGGGCCCACCCAGGGACCTGGGGTCTGGTGATGGGGACCGGACCTCCCTCCCACAACCAGGCACAACATGCCAGCACCTTGGTGCCCACCCGGGGACCCAGGGTATGGAGAAGGGGACTGGGCCTCTCTTCCACAACCAGGCACACCACGCCAGCATCTTGGGGCCTGCCTGGGGACCTGAGGCAAGGAGAAGGGGAATGGACCTCTCTCCCACAGCCAGGCACACTGTGCCTGTACCTCAGGGCCCACCTAGGGACCCAGGACATGGAGAAGGGGACTGGACCCCTCTCCCACAACCAGGCACATGGCGTCAGTGCCTTGGGCCCTGCACAGGGACCAGAGGCATAGAGAAGGGGACCAAACACACCCCACAACCAGGCATACCACCAGTGCCAAGGAGCATGCCAAAAACAGCCCCCCCACGTGGGTGGCCCACCACAGCCACCACAATAACCATGGCTGCTGCAAAAGCGGCTAGACACCACAGCCACTATGCAGATGGTCCGCCAACCACTGGAGTGTTCACACAAGAAGAGTCACCAGCAGAGACAAAGAAAAGAAGAGTATGTCTCCTTCCACAAAACCCATTTCAGAGTGACAGAAGCATCTGCTCTATGATAATATTGGGGGACCTGATCACATCTCTCAGCAGTGGACAGATC